TTTGGGTCCTTTACCCTTTAATAAAAGGGCAATCGGATATAAATGGGTGTTTACTGTCAAGAGAACCTTGATGGATATGTTGTTTGATTGAAGGCTCGTTTGGTTACTAAAGGGTATGCTCAGACTTATGAAGTGAATTACTCTAAGACTTTCTCTCCTGTTGCTAAGCTAGCTTTTATTTGGTTATTCATGTATCTTATTGCTACTTATCATTGGCGACTTCACCAACTGGATGTTGAAAATGCGTTCTTCCATGGTGATTTGCCAGAAAAAGTTTACATGGAGCAACCACGAGGGTTTATTGCTCAGGGGGAGTCAAGGAAGGTATGCAAACTGCAAAAGTCGTTGTAGGGTCTGAAATAATCACCATGTGCTTGGTTTGGGAGATTTATGAGGTGGTGATTGAATTTAACTTGCAAAGAAGTGCATATGATCACTTAGTATCTTTTAAATAGTCTATAGTTGGATGTGTTTTGTTAGTGGTATGTGTTGATGATTTTGTGATTATTGGTAGTGATAGTTGTGGCATAAGTATGTTGAAATCTTTCCCAGGCACAAGGTTTCAGGCAAAGGAGTTAGGTCCTTTAAAATATTTCTTAGGAATAGAGGTATCACGAAATGGTAAAGGAATTTCTCTGTCTCAAAGAAAATATGCTCTAGACCTAGTAGATGAGACAGGTTTAGCGGAACCAAAATCTGGTGGTGTCCCCTAGAAGATGGAGATGTGTTTGTTGATGATGAGAAATACAGGAGGGTGGTCGAAAAATTGAACTATTTCACGATTACTCGTCCAAATATTGCCTTTCCAATAAGTGTTATCAGTCAGTTTATGTCATCTCCTAGAACTTCACATTGGGACGCTGTGACTCATATTTGGGATTCCTTATAGAGACCATGGTCATTGTAGAGTTGAGGGTTTCTCAGATGCTGCCTAGGTAGGTTCTCTTGTGGATAGGTGCTCTATTATAAGGTATTATGTTTTCGTTAGGAGTAATCTAGTCTCTTGGAAGAGTAAGAAACGGTGTTGTAGCTCGATCAAGTGCAGAATCTAAACATCAAGCTATGGCACAGGTAACTTGTGAATTTATGTGGCTACATCATTTATTTGGGGAGATCAACATTGATGTGTCTCACTATATGAACTTATAATGTGATAATCAAGCAGCTAGTCACATTGCAACTAATCTGGTATCTCATGAGAGAAGAAAGCATATAGAAGCAAATTGTCATTTTGTTCGTGAGAAGTTATTGCAAAGATTTGATTTCGACTAAGTATGTCAGGACAGGGGATCAATTAGCTGATGTGTTTACTAAAGCGTTAGTTGGAAATCGAGTAAACTATATTTGTTACTAGTTGGACATTATTGATATTTATGCTCCAATTTGAGAGAGTGTTATGAACGGTGTGCAAACGTGATAAATATGGTAGGTGTACAAGTCTTAAATTATTTCCTTGTTAGATAGGATTATTTCCTTTTGAGATATATATATATATATATATATATATATATATATATATCGTTGGTTGGTAAATTAATTAGGGAAAAAAAAGAAAATTTCCCAAATCAATCAACAAATTTAATTAGTACCTGTTTAGGTTCGATCAATTTCATCAAGTATGAGCCGCTGAAGAGAATTTTTTTCTTACTGGTAGGTTATGGCAGTTGAGCTTAAATGTATTAGATGTACTACTCTCCAAAGCACTATTTCTGCCTTCGTCTTAACACCATTGTGCTTGCTACTGTGTCATTCATTCCATGGAAACTAGAAGAGGAAGAGAGGTACAATTCTCTGTAATTGACCAGCTTTGGGGGCATGATCAGCATATCTTCAAAATTGGAAAGCCATCTCAGGCTTAGTATATGGAGGAAATTAGAGTTGCAGTAGGTTGCTGAAATATAAGCAGACCAATCTGTTTTGCTATTTCTCCTTGAACCAGCACGTGTGATGATTTCTGATCTGCAACATTGACATTTTATTGCCATTTGAATGTTCCATTCTCTGTAGGACTTCATCCACCTGATATATATATATATATATATATATATATATATATCGTTGGTTGGTAAATTAATTAGGGAAAAAAAAGAAAATTTCCCAAATCAATCAACAAATTTAATTAGTACCTGTTTAGGTTCGATCAATTTCATCAAGTATGAGCCGCTGAAGAGAATTTTTTTCTTACTGGTAGGTTATGGCAGTTGAGCTTAAATGTATTAGATGTACTACTCTCCAAAGCACTATTTCTGCCTTCGTCTTAACACCATTGTGCTTGCTACTGTGTCATTCATTCCATGGAAACTAGAAGAGGAAGAGAGGTACAATTCTCTGTAATTGACCAGCTTTGGGGGCATGATCAGCATATCTTCAAAATTGGAAAGCCATCTCAGGCTTAGTATATGGAGGAAATTAGAGTTGCAGTAGGTTGCTGAAATATAAGCAGACCAATCTGTTTTGCTATTTCTCCTTGAACCAGCACGTGTGATGATTTCTGATCTGCAACATTGACATTTTATTGCCATTTGAATGTTCCATTCTCTGTAGGACTTCATCCACCTGAATCCAATTGTACCAAATTCTCCAACCAAAGAAAGGATATTTTGATTTTGAGTGGAATGGCAGGATGCCACAAGAGCTTATAGGAGGATAGTATATCCGTTTTTGTGTCTGACTGCTTCCTCCCAGCAGGATGAGAATGTGAATTCGCTGTTGTTTGACAGTGTCCACAAAATGGTAGCTGGCTGTTCTAGAGAAATGGAAATTTGTAATATTGACTGCTGGTGGTGGAAATTGAGACTTGGTTTGTCCACATCCTATTTTTGCCCTTTATGGTAATCTTATGCTTGTTCTTCTTCAGAATGGACTAAATGAGGATATTCTTCTGCCAGAGTCCTATCTCCCGCCAGTGATCAAACCAGAATGATATTTGCCTTGCCACAATTTCCAAGCAACATATTTCTCTGCCTTGGTGTTTATCTCCAGCACTTTTTTCCAAGTGGTTGAATCTTTCTGTTTGGCTTTAATTTGAAAGGGTGTCAGGTCTTGCAGTATTTAGCTTTTAGTGCCATTCCCACAGAGAGTTTTGAGATCTAAATCTCCACCACATTTTTCAAGAGAAAATGCTACCTTTGAGAATCTGCCTTTGTCTCCTAGTAAAGAGAGAGGGGTGAAGTGAACGAGCTTTTACCTTTGTTAATGAGTTTCCCCCAAGGTGCAGGATATTGCTGCAATAGGTTCATAATCTTATTGCAGAGAGCTTTTCTGTCCATTTGTAAATATTATCACTCATCTGTGAAGCTGATATGGGATATAGTGAGTGCGCCTCCATAGATAAATCTTTTCACCCATTATAATTGAAGGAGCTGGGGTAATAGGATCTCCTCGTCTCAATTCTCTACCTGACTTGAAAATGCCAGCCAGTTCTCCGTTCAAGATTATAGTGGACCAACACTCGTCAACACATCTCTTAATTTGTTCCTCCCAAATTTGATCAAGGACTCAAAAAGGAAATCTCAGGATACTCTGTTATATGCTTTGATCATATCAAGTTTTAGGATTTGATTTCCTCCTTTTGCCTTTCTGTCAAGTTGGTGCATCATTTCTTGGTCCATTAAGATATTATTACATATGTGTCCCTGGTGTGAAACTACTTTAATTAGGGGAAATAATAGGAGGCAGAATCTTAATTGAGTCTGGTAGCAAGGATCTCGGTGATGAGCTTGTTCAGAATGTTGCATAGTCTGATTGGTCTCTTATCAGTCCAGTCTTTTGCTGCTGCAATTTTTTATCTGACTACTGTGGTGCTGTACTTCCTTGTGAAGGATCTTACAGTTGAAGAAGTCCTTTTAGATCATTTTTTTTAGTTTACACTGGATAAATATACCTTTTATTTACACATATAGGATTTTACTACTCATTTATTGTCCCATATTTCATGGGACTTGTATTTTATAATAACTAATAACTATCAAATACTTTCTGAAATAGATAAAAATTAATATCGTAAGTTGTTATTTTTTCTAGAGTTCATAAAAGCTGATTATCTAGTAAAATTGTATAAGTTATAGGTAAAATAAATATACATGTTTTCAATAAAATTGGATGAACAGTTAAGTTTGATTTCAAACGATTTTTAACTGCCAAAATTTAAATCAAATCGTTTCTAAATAGTTTGGTTGTTTTTGAACTGAAAGATGGACTTGATCCAACGATTTTGATTTCGTTGGTGTTAATGTCCTAGGGCGATTTCCCGTTTATCATTGGAAGTAACTAAGTGAGGTATCAGTTGGACAGGAAACCCATTGGCCCGGTTCACGAAAGTTTGGACATATGGCCTGACCCCTACTTATATGGTTCAGGCAGTAATGCGAAGTGAACGCACCAATTTCGGAGATTTTGTCTACAAATAATTCTGTTTAGATAGGACCACGCAAAGAGGGGGTGTCAATTAGGGCCCTTGTTTGGACAGGACTTACGTGGTCCTGTCCGTCCAACAAAGTCTTTTTGTCCAACCTGCTGACCTACTGTATTAAATTTTGAAAATAAAATATTTTCATTTTCTTTAAAATTGTACAAAAAGTAACTGTTTTGGGGTACAATTTTAACTTCATCCGATCATAAACACCAAAAATGAAAGGCAGTTAAACACGTTATTATTATTTTTTTTTAATTTTCAATTTCAATTATTTTTTTTAAAAAAAATTATAGGTAGGTTGATTTGGAGTGTCCTATGAGCCAGATCCTTCCAAAAAGAGTTCAACCCTATAAATGATAGGCCCGGTTGTGCCCTATGAACAGGTGGTTAGGACTAGGTTTGTAGGGATCGAGTTCGCCAAATTGAACTATTTGACATCTCTCTTTCACGCAGATGCAAATAAATTACTTTTCTAAAAAAGTACATAAAATAGAACTCACTATTATAGCGTAGAACCAACAATTTATATGTTTTAAATCACAAAAAAGTGATGGATCCAAATACTTATAAGCATCCCCAAACAAATAATTGCCATAAGTTCGAGCTAGCTTTTGTGGCTATCACAAAACCAAAGAAAAGTTATCCAAGTTCCAAAGGAATAATCTGTTAATATTCCAGGCTTTCTAGTTAAGGTTGCCTTCTGGCTGTTACAGAACTAGAAGTGAAAAACTTTGGGAGGTGAAAACTCAGGTTCTGTTTTAATAATCACCCGCAAACTCAGTCACCAGCCCACCATGATTCATACATTTTCCATCTCATATTTCTGTCCACCCCACCTCCCAAAAACTCTCCCTATTTGCCCTCCCACAATCACCGTCCCTTCTACTGATTTTCTTGCCAATAATCGTACAAGAAAAATCACTTCCAATCAAATAAAGAAATGGGTCCTACAGAGCAGTGATAATCCAACGGCGGTGATTACATCTCCACCTGATGATGTTGCTACTGGAATGGAGTCAGCATCAAGCGTCGTGAGGAAGTTTTATCAGGGAATCAACCGCCGTGATTTGGCTTCTGTGGAGCCACTTATTGCTAATAATTGTGTGTATGAGGACCTTGTCTTCCCTCGACCATTTGTTGGCCGCGAGGTTAGCATTTACTTTTCTAAATTTTAGCATTCTCTAGCGCTCGCTTAATTTTCAGTTGTAGATTGTGTTTGGCTAAGAACTTACTCTTAAGAAAGTTTACCAATCTTAAAAGTAAAAAGATGTTAAGTTTGGATAAGAGCGTACAAGTAGATTTATGTTTCGCAAAACACTTGCATATAAGAGAGTCAGACTCTTGAACGACCATAAAGTGAGGATGATATAGTTATTGTTGGTGAAACTTGTAATATGTGCTCTTAAAATAGAGTCCATGCTCTATGAGTTTTACCTTAGGTTACCACTTACTCATCAAAATATAAAAAATTACTCATTGCTTACCCATATTTAAAAAAAAGTTACCTATCCATCACTAATACCAATTCCATCCGTCCACATGGACAATAAATCGACTTGAACGGATGATGGAATTGGTGTGAGTGATGGATGGGTAACCTTTTTTAAATATGGGTATGCAATGATTTACTTTTTAAATTTGGATGAGCAAATAGTAACCTATGATAAAATTCAGTGATCATTGACTTAATTAACTCGTCAAAATAAGTACCATTTTTTACTTAAAATTAAGAAAAAAGAGTATGTAAATCGAGACGTGCTTGGCTATAAAAGTTTCTGAAAAGTAAGTTTATTTCTAAGAGTGCATTGGCCTGCTTTAATGCTGGCAGTATGAAGAGTCGCGCTGCTAAACAGACATTTTTTCGTCTTCTTCTATAGCATCTAAACCAGGCCAAACACCATCCTTTTAATACATTCTATGAGCTATTGTGGAACGAACCAGGGTGGCTGAAAAGAATTCATGTAGTGGAGTCCAAATTTATTGGAGAAAGACTTAATTTCATGTTGTTGGTTATGAGCTATTGGAGTACATTCAAATGTGTTCGACACAAAAATCTGTTATTAGTAAACACTAGATTGGATATCATATACCAAACTCTGTACTCAAAAGCCTTTTTTCACTTGTTAGTAAATGTTGAAATTAGATTGATAGCCGAACAAGTGCATTAATTCATGTTATTGTGGAAGATAAAAAGATGAAGAATAAGCAGAGATCTCAGTTCACACGAAAAGGCATTGAAAATTAAGATGATTACGATAATTTCTTGAGATTAAAATGATTCGTGTTAATTACTATTGTTTTTGTTTATTTTATAAGTGATAAGTTAGGCCCCAAAAAAATTGGGAGAAGAGGGTATTGTTTCTTCATTTTTGAAAAGGAAGAAAAGATAGTGAAATATTCCTACTTCCAAGCTCATGCAGTGGATTACTATCTTAATTTGTTTTACTCTGAACTTCAGAAGTTTTGTTGTTTAAAAAAAAATTCTGAATATATGAAAATGGTTTTCAAGCATGTTCAATATGGAATATCACCATTGCTAAAGAAACATCAGGGAATTTCACATATGCATAGTAATGTAATCATACTGAAGAATAACTATGTTGAACAGTCCGCTTTGTTCAAGAGACTTGTATGAATGAGATATTTACAATGTGGAATGTCTCGGGAAAAAAAAACCTAGACAGAAGAACTCAAGAAACCTCCTATCTTAAAGTAATTATAATGTATCGGTGTGTCCCTTTACGCGCATTTTCTAATTGTTCCTGTACTCAATTCTCGTCGTGTAAATGGACACAAAGATGCATTATATGGCAGTTGAAGAATATATGAGAATAAGGAGGCAGGTATGATTATGTTAAGGCATGTTGGAATGTAGAAACTGGTGGACAAGAATGTAGAGGCAGATAACATTGCTATGATGTGGGTAAGAAATTATTGGAGTTGAATTCTCGCACTACTTTATCAAAGATGTACCTGAAAATAGTCTTACAATTTAGAGTGCGTGTATCGACAAGTATGCCCTTAGTACATCGGTGAAATGACATGGCCTAAGAGAAATATCTGAGGGTGATGCAGGGAGATTAATAAGTCTGTGAATAACAAGAAGGGATGGGGAGGGAAGAGAAGAAGAATACAAAGGAGGGGAAAAAAACGGCAGCAAGCCAAATCCTTAATTAATCAAATTCATCATCCCAAATAACAATGTAAGATAGGTTTAAATACTGGAAAATAATGCAAACCTAGGGCCAAGCCCAATACAAAAGTCCATAAAATTAAAATAACCTAAATTCCAACTAAAATAATTAAAATTGCTAAAATTAATTAAAATTGGATGTCCTCATCAATTCTCCCGGGGTGGGAGAGAAAACTCGACCCTGTCGAGTGGCAATATCACCATAGGCATCTGTCAATCTCCCAACCATAAGCTGAGCGGCTGGGCAAGCTTCTTCCTGCGTCTGTAGAAATGCGTCAGTGACGGTCTGAACCTGGTGTCCTCGCCAACTCCCCTCGGGTGGACGGGAGGCGATCTGGGCCAAGGAAGATCCTGCTGACTCCGATAAAGCTCTAGCAAATCTGGATCCAAATGCTGTAGTGTCTCCCTGGAGATCCATGCACAATCAGAATCTGGTCGACCAACCCAACGAACAAGGAAGCGCTGAACCTCTCCATCATTAGTGAACACAGTTTCTTCATCTAAAATAGCATCAATTTTATCTGTGTGTGCTGTGAGAGGTGGTAGTGGGTTAGTGGGGGCCAAGGAATTAGGATCAAGGTCCACAAAAGGAGGTAACAGGGGATCATCTGAGGGAATGAAATGGCCTTTATAAGCTACAAGGTCTTCAACATTGAAAGTATGGTGGTAACCAATGTGGGATGGAATGTCGACAATATATGCATTTGGACCAACTTGCTTTAAAATTTTAAAAGGACCAGCACTACGAGCTTGCAATTTGGAGGCGGGTCCATGTAGACGCCGCTCTGGCCTAATGCGAACCATAACGTAATCCCCAACATTAAACTCAATGTGTCGTTTATGTAAATCAGCTTGTAGTTTATAGTTTGCATTACTAGCTTCAAGTTGTTTATTGATCTCAATGTGCAAATCACGGAGGTGTTGTGCAAATGCTTCGGCTGATACTGATACTCTAGCCTGTGGGGACATAGGGATGAGATCTAATGGTTTCCTAGGCTTGTATCCGTGAACGGCTTCAAATGGACTCATACCTAATGAACGATTTACGGAGCTATTATACGCGATTTGAGCGACAGGAAGGATTAAATCCCAATTTCGAAGGTTCTCCCGGACCAGACAACGTAATAAGTCACCAAGACTCCGATTAACAACTTCGGTCTGACCGTCAGTTTGAGGGTGGTAGGCTGTAGAAAATTTCAATTTGGTACCCATCTTATGCCACAAAGTCCTCCAAAAATGGCTAGTGAAGCGAACGTCCCTATCGGACACGATGGTCTTGGGAAGCCCATACAGTTTGACAATCTCATTAAAGAATAACATGGCAACCTTGGACGCATCCGATGTTTTGCTACAGGGGATAAAGTGAGCCATTTTCGAGAAACGATCGACAACCACGAAAATAGAATCATGCTTCTTTGGGGTGCGTGGCAGTCCTAGCACAAAATCCATACTAACGTCTTGCCAAGGACAATTGGGGACGGGGAGAGGAGTGTATAGGCCTGTGTTCTGCTTCTTCTGTTTGGCCAATTGACAAGTGTTACATGTACTAACAATTTTAGCCACATCTCTCTTTAAACTAGGCCAATAGAATTG